AGCAGCAGTAGTAGTAGTGGTGGTGGTGGTGGTGGTAGTAGTAGTAGTAGTAGCAGTAGCAGTAGGGGGAGGAGGAGGAGCAGGAGCAGCAGCAGCAGCAGCAGCAGTAGTACTGGCAGCAGCAGGAGGAGAAGGAGGAAGGACTTGAATACTTAGTGATGCATGGAGGAGGTTTGAGTCATCTACATGAGACTCCAACTCTGGAATGTTTTGTGGAAGTCGTAAGGGCTTCTGGGATAGAGGGACGGTCAAGAGGGTATAAGTATAAGTTATAAGTGTTGCTTTTTCCCAACAGACCGGGATGTTACTAGGTTGAGAAAGTTTCGGCCAACAGTTGCACTTCGACATAGCTGGGTTGGGATGATGGTGATGCCAATGGGCCAAGGGCTTTTGATACCGAATTGGGCGAAAGTGGCAGCGCTCAGCTGTGCAATCAGAAGAGCAGCCACAAGCTCCTTGCACATGAAACCGCAGATTCCTCAATATAGAAGCCTGAAGCACATGATGCTGTAGCCCCAGGCCCTATTCTCATTTTCGTTGAGGCCTTTTTGGTGCAGGTGTCTTTCTATATCAGAAACTTAAGAAGTGTTGATTCAGGGTGTCCTGTCCCGGAAGTCCAGGGACCGTTTATTCGGGTTTCTGGGCCGGAACATCGGTTGACTCAGGAATGAAAGGGTTTAGGGTTTAGGGTTTTAGGGTTGATCAGAGACTGGGTTCAAAAAAGGGTTTTAGGGTTCCGGGCGAGTCCGAGAGAGAGAGAGAGAGAGAGAGAGAGAGAAGCCTGCTGCAAAAGGGTTTTAGNNGGTTTAGGGTTTAGGGGCCCAGAGAATCAACCCAAGTTGATTGTCGCTCTGAGAGTGCTTGAATACTCTGAGGCTTTTCCAGTGGCTCCACGAGGCCTTGAAAGTGGCGATGGAGGCCGGAAACCCACTAAACCCTAAATCCCTTGGTAATTGGTTATAGAACCCTTTGCAACGAACCCCTTCAAGGAACTTCAAGGAAGCCTTTACAGGAACACGTTTAAAGGCACCCCCGTGAAGGAACCCGTTGAATGAAGCGTTTAAAGACCCTTAAAGGAGCCCCTCAAAAAGCAGCCCTGTTTTGGAACCGCTGAAACTTCGAAGGGATATTTTTGTCGGCTCAGTGCAGATCAGTTTTGAATGGGGCTTGAGGGCTTTAAGGTTTTGGCTATTCCAGTTTAGGGTTTTGGGGTTCAGGGTTTTGGTCTTGCTAGTAACTGAGCTCTGCAAGTGACTGCCTAGTCGGCTTGCTTGCCGCGTACCCGGTGATAGAGGCCCGGCTAGAGAAGGGTTTTGGTTTGGGCCAGGTTTGTATTGCCTGCTTGTTTGGGGGTGTCGGACTCGGTATGACAGCTGTAGTAGTCGTTGCGGCAGCTGCCTCCCACCTCCTGTGGTGGCAGATTGAGTGCTTCGCAGACCGATCCAGCTTTTGTCTGATTTTGTTGTTTGGCTCTGTGGCGGTGATGGCTACATTGAGGTTATAGCCATAGCACTGGGAACTGCCATGGAGAGTGAACGTCGCCTTTTGGGCTGTCCT